CTCCTAGGCCTTAAAAAATACCAATAGCAAGACCTGTTAGATTTAAGAAAGTCTTAATTTGCTTCCAGGTGTAGTTACATTGTCATAAATAGTTAAAATACATTATCTATACTGTAAGATTAATGCTTACATAAACCCTGTCAGATGATTACCAGAGTCCTTTTCCATCTAATGGAACAAGGAAATCTGTTTGTTTCTTATTACTAATAACTGTCATTTACTTAGTATCTATTTTATGTCAGTACACTGTGAATTTTATACACAGTATCTTTAATTCTAAACACATAAACTTGTAAGGTATTATTTTTGTTTCACAGGTGAAGAAAGGTCTCAGAAAAGTTACATGACTGATCCAAGCTATGTAGTCACAGATTATGGACCCAGAAATTGGTATTTTTTCCTTTATACTATGCTTCTTAAGGAAAGGCAAAATGGTAGTATATCATTTATCTAATTTCTGTTGCTTGTTTTATTTGTGAGTCCTATTGTATATATGATTATTCATTACAGAGATACACCTTTCTTTAAGATAGGACAGAATTTTAGCTTATATAAATAAATTTGGGAATGGTTTAAAACTTTACAGTAACAAAAGAAACTTTGTTACTTTACAAGGGAACAAAGTTCTTTTAAATTTTGAGCTTTTCTAATATAGTTAAAATAGAATTTAAAAAGATAAAAATTTTGAAGTGGAATAAAATTTGTTCAATATGTTCTTTTTAGTCATTTTCATAAGATTTATGATAATTATTTTAAAAATTGGTATGGTATTTTGATTCAGTTACATTATGAAAGAAAAGGATGAAAGACTAAGTATAACTATCTTAAAGTATATCCTAGTATCGCATTATTGATTATTACTAAATTCTTACAGACTTAAAACAGCATGAATGTTAGAGGGCGGAATATTAAGTTAAAGAATGTAGTTGAGAAAGTTTATAAACTCAGATTAAGTTTATGAAGTGATCTTTATTTTAATGCAAGCATATTATTAAATTTATGCTAAGTAGATTTATCAAGACAACTTACTGTTTGTTAACTTCCCTAATGGTATCTTCATATTCTAGGAAGCCATTTATGATAGCAGAATAGAGATGTAAGAAAATCACCCTTTTTTTTGTAGTTATGAAATAAATAATTCTGAGAACGTAGAGTTCCTCTGTGCGGTTGTATGTTGAAAATACATTAAATTGTACATTTATATGTGTATATATATACATACATACACATCTGGAAGTTTTTTTCAGTTTTAGTATATGGATTTAATTAGTTATGTAAAACAGGCTAAAAATGAATACCTTTGAAAAGAAAATTAAAAATTTTTGATGAAGATTTATTTTATTTTTATTTATTTTTATTTTTTATTTTTATTTTTTTATTTTTTTTATTTTTTATTTTTATTTTTTTTGAGAGGGCATCTCNAATTCTTACATAGTGAATAAATTCTTACATGGTGAACAGTACAAGGGCATTCATCACAGAAACTTTCTGTTTTGATCACGCATTATGACCTATAAACAATCAGGTCAAATATGAATATTCGTTTGATTTTTGTACTTGATTTATATGTTGATCCCACATTTCTCCTATTATTATTATTAGATGAAGATTTATTTTTTTAAATGACAAAAAGCTAGTGTTTTAAAGTTGGCATTACTTAAATTTTTAAAATCATCAGGAAGTTAATTTTGAAATAATACCTCATTAAAAGTTTTAGGAGGTAACCATACTGCATTATTGTATAAATGCATAGTTACAATAATAATGATGTCTGGCATATACTAAATAATTAAATAGGTAATGCTATTGCTGCTATGCTTTACATACATCATATCATTTAATCTATCTAACAATTCTATGAGTTCTGTTGTTTTCCTTATATGATAGGTGAAGAATCAGAACCTTTGGAAAGCTAGGTGACTTGGTTGGGCTCAAATAACTAACAGAAAATGTCAAACCTAGGTCTGACTCCAAAGCTTATGCTCCTAACCACTTCATTATAGTACTTCTACTTTATCTTAAATACTTTTGTTGATTTCAAAACTTTAAAAATCTCATTAAAAGCAGGTATAAATTAAAGGGAATTTAATGATCCGTCTTTAATATACATCACCAGGTTAGTGGTGATCAGCTTAAAATAACAAAGCTTGGTAGAACTTTTAATATCATATAGTTCTTTCTCTGTTCAGGCAAAATTCCACTTACATACTCCATATCAGTTATATTTTTCTTTCAAATCTTCAACATTTATTTCTAGGGTGTAATAACTCATATTGTTAGAAAATTGTACAACTTAAATTTGTTTGCCTTGAGATGGAAAACAGTCATCTTTCATTTAAATCATACATTATTTTGAAGAACAGTGACCAAGTAAAAGGTATTAGCCAATCTAATTTATTCCAGAAAGTACTTAATTTTCCAAGTTTCAAACTTTGAAGGTAAAGTAAGATATCACGGTCTGTTCTGAGAAAAATGATGAAATCTGGCAAAAGGTGTTGCCATTTTTGGTAAGAAATTGTATGGGCAAAAACAGTGAGAATTTTCAGGATTTTTAAACTTGACATTGATTGAAGAGAAAAGTCAAATATCTAAAAATATCAGCATTTAAGTACCAATTGGAAATGTGTTCAGAAATTAAGTCATTACACATTTGGATTTTAGAGTAATAATAAGATATAGCTTGAAAATCAATAAAGATGTCTTCCCTATGTTAAGCAAATTGGCAGAAAATACCAGTAATCTGCCTCCCCCCAGTTATTTGAGAAATAGATGTTACAGTTTATCAGTTGAATTTTTTTCCCATGGATTTAGGTTGTAATTTTAAGGTTCCTTTTTTTCCCCATTGGCTTTTGGGTTCTTCTTTATGTTTTTTCTAAAATGTTAGCTGATGTTCTTCCTGCGCCCGCCTGTCCTATCCAAAGTAGCATATATTATTCTTAAAGACATCGCAGTGGGGAAGCTTCCTTTAAAAATATATTCTTTGATGAAAAATTCTCAAAGCAGAGAATCTTTCTGTAATGTGACTGATTACCAAAAAATGAGGATTTTGTAGGGTTAAATGGTGTTTCTGTTTACTTGTAGCTTTTTTGGTGTACCCTCCACCTGCTCCCTGCCCCACTTTCTTAAGTTTGGATTTCTCCTTAAGTTTTTCCTTGGTATATATGACATAGCTCTTTTTGTATATAGCTTATGAATAAGAACAGTGGGACTAAGAGACGACTGCCCAAACTGTTGGTCTAAAGTCATTCAGCATATTAGTAGAGTAGGTCTCACACTTCTTCAGTGTTAATCTCACAATTGCTGGACAAAATAAAAATTTTAAAAAAGGCCAATTTTAAGCTTAAGGTAGGAAAATGTATTCTATTTCAGCATTAGTTCATAATTGAATATGCTGTGCTAGGTTCTAGAAATCAGAAACTTTCAGAAGAAGGGATTCAACAGTGACCCAGTTTTCTTTTCCTTGTCATTTGAATTTATGTTATACATTTTTGTATAATTTGCCAAAAAATAGTATTTAAATTTTGCAATTTTAAACAATGTCCTAAGTCAAGTGTACACTTAGTAAGTCAGAGACAAAGGATGGTAGAGGCAGTGCCCCTGCTCTTTCTGCTTTTACTCTTTATTGTTAAGTTGAGGCTTCTCTCCTATTCCACCTAGTCTTAGAAGCAATTAAGATTTCTACTTGAGTCTTGTAAAACCAAATCTGTTAGAAATGTAAGGGTAAGTCCCAGGCTTAGGAAGTCCAGCTTTATGATTATGGTTGGAGTAAAATTTCTTCTGAGGAAAAGGTTATCACTTCTTGGTAGTTAAAGATTATTGATAGAATTATAAGTAATGGGGCAAGGGAGGGGATTTTCTATTTTCTTGCTCCTTTGTACTGATGATTTTTGAGGACTACCATTAAATAGATACACTACCCTGTTTCTTGGTATTACATCTTAGTTGTTTAGGGAACCTCTATTTTTCAGTGTTAGAGTTACTGAGACATAACAATTGAATTGATATCTATAAACCTAGGGTTGACCTATTAGATAATTGGGAACTTTAAGTATAGCAGTCATTCTGCTGTTTTACCACTTGCTTTTTTTTTTACTCTTTACGTTTCTATTCTGATGGCAAAGGGGACTATAGAAAACCCTTCTTGAAGGCATTGTGCAAATTACTTAGATTATTTTCTAACATGGATATGTATTACCTGAGAATCTCCATGATTCTTTAGAGCCAGAACTTGGTGCTAATAGAGGAAAGATCAAATATGAAAATAAGTGGCATACCATAGACAAAACGAATTGAGTACCCATTAGTATTCTTCTAATCAGTGTGTTGTCTGGGCGTGCATTACAAGCAAATGATATCCTCCTCTACGAACGTTGTGGTGGAAGTTTGCTGAATATTGTTTGGTAATACAGTTTCTATCTTGTTTTCCCTATCCTCTTTGTCTTACAAGTTCAGTTTACATCGAAAGTCTATCTTATCTTCCCTCTAAGATACAAAATGCAAAAGTGAAATAAAACCCAAAATTTAAAGTTAGCCGAAGTTCTAATCGCATATTAAAGTTACTTCAGTGGCCTTTAGAGAAATTTTAGGTGGCAATTAGAAAAAGCTCTTAACCTTGTGCTTGATACATAGCCTTCATAAAGCAGAACTATTCTTTATAGAAATAATTAAGAAAGATTTATATTTATAAAGAAATTATATGTTATTGGATGGAATCTTGGTATGTACAGTAAGGTTTATTTATGAGTTAGAAAATCTTTGCTGCTGTAGAGATCCATTTGGTTAATAGAGTGATATACCTCAACGAATGATGGAATATCAGTTTTCCAGGTATTTTCTGACCTACTCTAAACACTGGTGAAATCTTTAGTGGAAGAGAATCTACAAATTGCCAACATAAAATTTCTTCTGTCTTCTTCAGAGGGCTTTAGTTTAGGTCAGGATTTAAAAAGTTTTCAGTGTGTGTTTTATATGACTTTACATTTTTCTTTCTCTTTTGACAGGAATCTTTTAGTCCTGCTATACAACTGCACCTTGTACATCAGGTTCCATGTAATGTTCCTCCTTACCTCTCAAAGAATGAATCAAATCTTGGGGACCTCTTACTGGGCTTTCTGAAATACTATGCTACAGAATTTGAGTAAGTGAAAGTTCAAATTGTGTTTATATATAAATGAATGCTACAAATTTAGTCAGAAGCAATATTTACCAATTTCAATGCTATAAATTTGTCCAGAAATGTGTAGCTTATAAAATTTGATACCTAACAATTATTAGATGCTAAATAGATTTCATATTCCTAGCTAATAAAAAAGGTATAGTTCAGTAAGCCCAGTTTTAGTTTGTTTTAATAGCGATCCCATTTAATGTTTAGCTGACTCTTCATAGTAGGACCCAAGTAAATGTTTGTCTTGGTCTAATGTAGGTGCTGTGTAGTTTGGAACATCTGTTTTTTAGAAGTTCAAATTTTTAGTAAAACCAGCTAAGACAAACTTGGGAAAAGATCTACTTAATACTTGACATTTGAAAAAATAGTCGTTAGTGTGTTATACAAATCAAAGGATAGTCCTTTTCCTGTTTTGTTTTTTTTCCTGAGGGTGATGTGGAAGCATGAAACACTAGTGGACATAGTTTAAGGACTGTACATAACTGAAAGTTCTAAAAATTCTTATGGTAATTCTTAGGCCAGATGGAGTAGGGTTAGGGATTGTTTAAAGCTCTCCTGATGAATTTAGAAAAACCTGAAGAAAAAAAAGAGGACTTAACTTACAGAGTTAGAGGAGAGTAGTATAAAGACCATAGCATACCATTTTTGAAGAGGTTTGTAGAGGGGAATATTAGTAGTAATAAATTGCTGTTACCAGGTGGGAAAAACTGTTCTAAGCAGATTATATGTATTATCTCATTCAGTTTACATAATAACCATATGAGATGGTATTATTTAATGCCCATTTTACCAATGAGGCATATAGAAAGGTGAAGAAACTTGCCCCATATTCACACAGCGAGTAAGAGGAGTATTTCAAACAGTTTTGACTGCAAAATTTACTCTTAACTGTGATACTTTACTGCAAAGTTTCTATCGTCTTATCTGCTATGATTGAGTAGCTCTAGAGAAATATGACTCTTATAAGATGATTTGAAACACAGGGCATGAATGAAGAGATGTTGTTTAAATTCCTCAAAGTAATTATACCAGACTGTTTGTGCCTGTTTTGTTTACAGTTGTGTCTTCAGTACCTAGCCCAGTGCCAGATAAGTGGGTATTAGAAAAGTAATTGGTACAAAATTAATAATTTTGAAGCAGAAAGTAAGATTATGGGGATGATTCAAAGATCTTTAAGATGACTTTAAAATTATTGGATTTGGTTAAGAAAAGGAGTAGGAAAAGTGCTGAAGGAAAGTAGTAAGAATAAAGTTAACACTAAAAATGACCAGGACCAAAATATAAGTTCAGGCAACAAGGATAAAATGGAAGGAGCCTCCATTTATATAAAGGGAGGAAAGATTTAAGACTATATAAAAGATAAGAGCCTATAAAGGTTACTTTAGAGTTCAGATTCTTTTAAGATATTATAATAACAGTTCCTCATCTAGTACCCTACAGTATGTTGAGTGATTCCTGTACTATTATATCATTTAACCCTCACAATAACCCCTATCAACCTTCTTGTGTACTTGAAAGTTCCCTGTGGCAATTGAGCTAGATAGTGAGAGAATGGATTCAAATTTAGGTCTGATTCCAACCACATTCTTAATTGTTAGACTGTATTGGCATCATCTGTTGTGTCATATAAATTAGTCATTGAGGGAGATTTGTACAGAGGGAAAAAGAGTCCTAGAAGAAAAATATATTTCTGCCATGTATAGTTCATGATTAGAGCATCTGGATACAAATACCTTGAAAATTACCCACTTTGTTGGACTGAAACAGAATGGTAAATGTGTTAGTTTAGTGTAATAGAAACTAGCTTGGCTGTGCCAAATGATAATGGCTGGGATGATGATGATGCTTGGAAAGAGGTTTTGAACTTTTGGACACATTTGTTAGCTCTATGATACATGACAGGAGACATCTTCACCTCTTTCATCATATAGTACATTTGTCAAGTGTGTTGTTTCATACCAGATTAATTTCAGAAATTTGACTGTAGGGAGCACAGCCAAGAGTGTAGTCATGGTATTGAACTAGGTGCTGTGCCAAAGAATTCTGACAGTTGTTAGAAATACTTGTAATGATTTCTTCTGAACTTTGACATAGTCAATTAAAAAAATTCTCTTTACTTGAAGACAGAATTAAGTGCCTGTTAAGAGATGCTTGAGTATATAATTTAATAAATGTTGCATAAAATTTATATGGCCATTAAAATATACTGAGATTTTCTTACTTTACTCACAGCTTTCTCCTAAACCTAGGTGCTGAAAATTCTTAAAGTGAAACCAAGCTTCTAGAGCTGCACTTGGAAAGGGGAACTGGCAAAGTAGGGTAAAAAGGAGCCAGGTGCCTCAGGGACTCTAGAACAAAATATAGTAAGATAATATATCTTGAACAAAATATATATCTAGAACAAAATAATAATTTTGTATCAAAACAAAAGAAAAATTCAAGTACTAAATCCCTTTTAGACTCATAGACATTGGAGATCTATGAAGCTTAAAGTTCTATTTTGTAATCTATTATCTTATAATGTTATATTTTATAATTGTGTTTTATAAGCCTCTTTATTCCCTGGGTGCCTAATTACATGTTATTGCTATTAATCTACCTGCTGAATCAAAAATACATTCCTACATACTTAAACAAGATTTTTTTAAAAAGGAAATTATATAAAGGTCTAATATTGCTATCTCCTTTCTTACTCAGATTTTTTCCTCTCATTTTATTTAATCAATAAATCATTTAGTACCTCCTGTATACCATGCTATTTTGTATGCACTGGGGATATAGCAGTGAACAAAACAGACAAAAATCCCTGTCTTCATGGAGTTTACAGTGTATAGAAAATCAAACAAAGTTACAGTATGTTATCATTTGGTGGTAAGCAGAGAAAAATAGAGCAAAAGCAGAAAGGAGGTGCAGATATGTGTAGTTTTTGCAGTTTTAATACCTGTATTGTAATTGAATACCTAGCATGGTAAAGGAAAGTCCCACTGAAAAGGTGACCTTCGAATAAAGACTCAGTGGAGAGAAAGGTGTGAATTACAGTCTGAGAGAAGACCTTTTCAAAAAATGGAAAAGCAAGTGCGAAGACCCTGAGGTAGGAGTTTGCCTCAAGGAATGGCAGAAATGATGTCAGAAAGTTAGGGAAGTCAGCAGTTAATTTTGAAGCCTTTGGCTTTTCCTCTGGGAGAAATGGAGAACCACTGCAGGGATTCAGTAGAGAAATTATGTAGTCTGATCTAGTTCATAACAGGTGAGAATAGACTAAAGGGAGCCAAGGGTAGAAGCAAGGAGACCACTAGAAGGATATTGCAATAATCTAGAGAAATGATGTGGCTTGGATAAAGGTAGTTGCAGGGGAAGTGGATGAGAAGTGGTCAGATTCTGTTTATTTTGTGTTATTCAATAGATTAGATGTCACATTAAGAGAGAAGAGATGAGCAACTTCCAAGTTTTTGGTTTGAGCAACTGAAAGGATGGAGTCACTATTAGGTGTGATGGGGTAAGAGAAGGAGTGTTACTGAGTTTGAACTTCTTAAGACTGAGATACTATGAAATGTTCCAATGGAGAGTTCCAATTGAGTAGATAGTTCAATATACAAATCAAGAGTTCAGGAGAGAGGTCACAGTTAGATCTGTACATTTGACAGTTGTTAGCTGATATTTAAAGGTTTGAAACTGAGAAAATCAAGAGAATATAGATAGAAAAGAAAAAAGTCTCAGAGACTAAAACCTTTGATACTCCAGTGTTAAGAGGTTTACAGGAAATAAGATATGGAAATATGTGACATATTGAGGAGAGAGACACAAATTCACAATGTAGGTATTCTGTGAAACAATTGGCCTAGTTTCTTAAAAAGTCAGTGTCATTAAAAAACAAAAGTAGAGGGAACTTTTCCAGATTGAAGAGGTGGAACAATAAATATAATGCATGAACCTTGATTAAAACCTGATTAGGGTGGAGGAGTTGTAAAATACACTTGAATTAGTGTTAACTCTAGATACTGTTTGTGTTGTAAAGGAGAATGGCCTTATTCTTATGAGATGTATATCCAAAAATAAAAAAATGAAGTTTCATGCTGTCTACATCTTCATAAATGTTTCAGTTCAAAACATACACATAATACACAATCAAATGTGGGAACATGTTAACAGCTGTTGAATTGTTTTTGAGTTTTATGCTTTTTAGTCTTTCTCTTTGAAAAGTTTCATAATACAAAGATGCAATTAAAATGTGATTAGGGATGAAAAGGAAATAATACATGTAGTCTAAAAAGAAAGAATAGTTGAGGTAGGAGGAAAGCCAATAGAATGTATTGTCTTGGAATCCAGGGGAGAAAAGATGTTGCCAGGAGGAGGGAGTGATTATCTGTGACACATTTTTTGATAGATCAAGTAAAAGATAGAGTCAGAAGCTGACTTTTGGAGCATTAGCCCATGTGGAGGCCACAGGACCCTTGTCAGAAGCAGTTTCTATAGGATAATGGGGATAACAAGCATCACTGGTGTGGGCTCAATAGAGAACAGGAAGAAGAGAATTAGATACAGATAGTGTAGTGTATGTAAACTCCTCTAGGGTAAAGAAACTAACACATCTTGATAGCAAAATTGATGATAACAGAAAAATACATAGTAAAAATATTGAACAGTTTGAGTTGAGAAGGGCTCAAAGCTAGAGTACAAGTGAAATAGGAGCACAGAGAATCATTAATAGTAATTTCATACCAGTATAGTAAGTACAATATGTAAATACAGAGGAATACAAGTGAATTGATGTAATGAGAGCTAGTGGAAATTATCTTTTGATTGCTTTTGTTATTCAATGAAAGGAAGCACGGACAGCAGCTGGGAATGACTGTGAGGGAGGAAATTTGAAAAGCGAGGAGAAGGCATGCATTGTTATGTCAGAGTAAATAAGTGAATTAATATGATTGGTGAGTAGTAGCCCATTTAGGGTCCTTTGAGATAATCATTAATTT